CACCTCAGCCTCACCTGCTAAGGAACCTGCCAGGCCCTATTGGCCTGACTAAGATGTCACAGCCTCCTTGGGGACTGATCATGTCAAGAGCAGGAAGGGGCTTGGTCAGAGCACAGACCTGGACATTCAGGCACCTGACTCCAAGCTCGGCCCCAAGAAATTCCAAGAAGGTAAATCTACCTTTGGAGCCCTCACCTCCTGTTTTATTCACTCTTCTTTCTGTCCCCCCCCCCCCCCCCCCGCCCCCCGCCAGCTTCCGCCAGAGTCTAAGGCCCTGTGACCTCACAGTGCCCCAATCTTGACTTAAGGCAAGAAAAGTACCTGATAAACTAACCTCTACATTAAGGCAGAGGGACCACCCTCCCCCCCCCACCCCCCCACACACACAAGGCAGGCATTGCTAAACCAAGTTAGCACTCTTTCTTCTGAGCTCCCCCTCCAATAATCCACAGAATCTTTTCTTAACATAATATTCTAGAGAAACCACTACTAATCCATCAGAATTGGCATTCGAGCAAGGTAAAACTTACATAGTGTGGTTGTTCTATAGGGTCAGAAACCTTTAGAAGGAGGACCAAAGAAATGTTGAAGCTACAGTAATGAACCAGGAATGTGGAACTGAAGTTACGGAAGAATGTCAGGTATTTTAAAAGCAAAGGTAGGAATAGAGAGATGACAGAGTAAGTCTACCTAAATGTCGATTCTATCTGATTCTATCAAGTCAATGCAGCTCAACTCCACAAACACTGACCCTGAGCCTTAAACTTCCTCATGTCATATACTTTTAGTCACCCTCAGGCTGAGGTGCCCAGCACCCACTAGTAGCTGCTCCCTGACCTCAAGGAGCTTGGAGTGTAGTAAGGAACATGGACATCTATGCAACAGTACTGGGCAGAGTAGGAGTGGTGCCTTTTAAAGAAACACAGTGGCCAAGGCAGTTGAAAACAAGACGAAAAGCGATCACTCTGGTTGGGGGATCCTCAGGAAAAGATTCCTGAAGTGAGGCAGTCCATGGGAAGGACTTGAAGGAGGAGAGTGTGGAAATGGGAAGACAAGGGGCTGAGGGCATGATGCCAGCTGAGGGAAAGTGATTGAGCACAGGCTTGGAATCAGGGAAGCCGGACAGATTCAGAGAGTAGGGACATGTCCAGGGGTGGAGTAGGGGAGTGGCAGGTGAAAGGCAGGCAGCATACTGGGGTCACATTGTGGGGGTCCTGAATGCTAGGGAAAGGGTATGTCCTTCTAAATCACCACTCAGAGATCAGGTGCTGGAGGATGGGATGTCCCCAGGCATCCATCAGGCCGACTCTCAGGAGGCCTTAGAGCAGTGGTTCTCAACCTTCTGGCCCTTTAAATACAGTTCCTCATGTTGTGACCCAACCATAAAATTATTTTCGTTGCTACTTCATAACTGTAATGTTGCTACTGTTATGAATCGTAATGTAAATATCTTGATATGCAGGATGGTCTTAGGCGACCCCTGTGAAAGGGTCGTTCGACGCCACGGGGGTTTCAACCCACAGGTTGAGAACCGCTGCCTTAGAGAAAGCCTGCTCTTTCCCCCTTTCTTTTTGACCATGTTCCTCTATATCTGTGTCTTTGCTCATGCTGTTCCCTCCTCCAGAAATTCCCTTCCTTTCTACTTTGCCCAGCAAATTCCTACTCATCTTTAAAATCCCAGCACAAAGTTCACCTCTTCTATGAAGCCTTCCTGACTCCCTTATGTAGTTACTAGTCCCTCCCAAAGTGCTCCCACAGCTCTTGGTGCATTCTTTCTATGTATGACTTGCATGTCAATGTTCTGTTCACCATTAGTCTGTCTGTCTCCCCATATTAGTCTGTAATCTCTTGGAAGTCAGTAACTGTCTCTTATTTCAAGAATAGGACTATCCCTCATACCTTGCACACTGTCAATAAGTGTAGGAGGAAGGGCTGAAGGGAAGAATTAAAAAGGAAAGGAAGAGGGCATCAGTGCTGGTCTAAGTCACTGGCAGCTGTGCCCAGTGGCCCAGCCTCCTGGTTTTATCTGCCTCACATGACCTGGTGCCTCCCAGATTGAGCCCTCAGCTTCCCCTCTCCCCCACTCTGGGCCAAGGAGGACACCCTTCCGATCATCTGCCTCCTTTAGCACCTGCCCAGATGCTTATTAACCCAGATGGCTCCGCTCTGCCCTGAGAGGTGGGGACTGGGCAGAGCTCAGGGCTCCAGTGAGTCTCCTTGACCTCCCTGCCTGTGAAGAAGGGAGAAGAAATTTGGGCCTCCCCCATGCCAGCCCCAGAGAGTTACCCTCCTGCTGTATCAGGTGGAAGTTTCTGACCCCCAGTGCTCTGATCTTGGACAGACACCTCACCAGCTGTGAGGTTGAGCTGGGGCCCAACGAGGGGTATCTGCACTGGGAGAGAAACTGAGGCATGGAGAAGGGATACGACTCAAGCTAAAGATGTGAGGAAAGACTGGGGCCAGCCAGAAAGAAAGACAAGTGCCCAGGTCCCCTCTCTGGGCCAAAGGCCAGGTGCTCCCCAGTGCCACTTAATAGGGGCCAATCCTCCAACCTCCCAATTCTTCAGGCTTCATTCATGTGTCTTCTCTCCACAACACAGAAGGGCTAGGGAAAATGGAAGTCGTGAGAACAACAACCTGACAAGAAGGCCAGAATAGACCAATTAGAACACAGGGATCCCACCTCCCAGCCCACGTAGTGACCTGCCACACCTCCAGCTTTAAGACTCCAGCTTTCCTGGGAACCTCTCCTTCCAGAGAGGCTGAAGACAGGCCCTGGGGCAGGCAGTAGATGGAGATTGGATTCCAGTCTTGCAGGAAGTGAAAGGGTTAGTTTTCCCCATGTCCATCAGGCTAGTCTAGATATCTCACCCCAGAGTGCTGTGAGCCCAGACTTATCTCTGGTGTTCTCTGAATTTCAATTTCTCTCTTACTCCTCCTCCCACCTCTTTCTGGGAGGCAGTAGAAGGAGGAGCTAGGGACCCTTGGCACCAGCTATTCCTGGGGTGTCATTTAATGCTGCCAGTAATCGCCATCTCCAGGTTTATTATTAGCTCTCTTTCCCTCATGACTACTCTTGTCATCACTGGATCAATTGATATCTCTGTGTTTGAACAACGCTCTGTGATTGAGCGTCGACCTATGAATCAGGAGGTCGACACAGTCCAATTCCCAGTTGGGGCGTAAGGGCATATGCCTCGGTTGTGGGCTCTATCCCCAGTGTGGGGTATGCAGGAGGCAGCTGATCAATGATTCTCCCTCATCATTGATGTTTCTATCTCTAGCTCTCCCTTCCTCTCTGAAATCAATAAAAATATATATATTTTAAAAGCAGGGTAGTGATAATAGACACACACACACACACACACACACACAGTGAATGGGAAGAGAAAAGGTCTTCTCTCCACTCCAATTCCTGCTCTAAAACCCTCCAACCCACTGGGAGGCAGGAAGCAGGAAGTAGCATGCAGGGGGTAGAGGCACAAAGAACTCTTCTGAACCAACAGAGCAATCACGTAACAGCAAGCTAAGAAAAAGAGAGTATCGAAGGGCAAATATGAGGAGGGCAGACAAAACTAGAAACCAATGAATGGATATGGGGATGGCAAGGGGGCAGGGGGTTAGGGGCTGGGTGGAGGGAGGCAAAGTGTGTGTGTGTGTGTTGGGGGCGGAATGGGACATCTGTAATAGTGTCAACAATGAAAATAAAGTTTAAAAAATTGATAGTTGTTGAATGTGGGGCTCATTATACTATTATTTACACTTTTTTGTATGTTTAATTTTTGTATTACAACTTTAAATTATGCATGTTGCTTAAATAAAGCTGTTTGACACTTTAAAAAAAAATACAAAGAATGATAAAGATTTCTCTCCCAAACAAAATAGAGTCCTCAGAGTGAGGACGAGAACACTGCAGATCATATAGGTGTTTAATTTGCCAGACAGGAGAGCAGAGTGGAGAAAGATCTAGTAACCTGACATTATGCTTGTGAATGTGTTTTGTAAATTTCAGGATGCTCTACAAATGCAAGAAGTCGTATCAGTCCCTGCATAGCCGGGCTGCAGGAGGAAGACCCAGGATGTGGGGGTGGGGGGCCAGGTGGGGGCACTCAGACCTGCCCCTGCCCCATTACAGGGTCTTTGGCTTCATGACTGTAAGATTATAATGATCACACCTCCATGGACACTTCTGATTCCCAGTATCCACCCTTCTGTCAGACAACGCGTCATGATTTATGGATGTGACAGTGCGGTCCTTCCATGGCATGTCCAGCATTGCCCTTCCGGGAGCAGGTCTGTTTGAGCAGCTGCTGTAGGTGTGAAACCTGGAGGGTGCCTGTTTGCCATGAAGCATGAAGGTACCCCCGCCGGTGGCTCCTGTCCTCCCTCCCCAGCCTCAGGTGATGGGAGAAATGTTGGGTCAGGGACCTGGCCCCAGGTGCGGTCCTTGGAGCAAAGACAAAGTCCAGCCTTCCACAGATGGCCAGGGCAGTGAGAGATAAGGGTCATACTTTGGACTCCACGCCAAAGAGCCCCATGAGGGCCCCAGCATCCCTGAGCCCCTACATCCCTTCTCCTGGCTGCCCCGCTCCCCTGCCTGGTTGAAAAAGGAAGACGAGGCGGGGGGGGGGGGGGGGCGGAATAGCCGGTCATTCACTGCACCCAGAAAGCGAGGTGGCCGCCTTCTCAGCGCGCTCAGCCCCGCACTTAAGCCTCAGCACTCGGGAGCCTCCGGGGTCCGGCCGAGAGGGGAGCGAGCGCCTGACGGTGGCGCGCGGCTGCAGCCCTTCCGCTCCGGCCGGGTGGGTGGTGAGCTCAGGTGCAAAGGAAAGAGGGAAATGGGGACGCCGCGAAGCGAGCTCTTCTTCCCGGGAGGGTGGGGGCTGCGTCCCGGGCAGGGGCTCCTCGGTTCCCCAGGCCGCGTGGGCGTCCCCACCGCGCCGTCGGTCCGGCGCCCACGGTGAGAGGGCGGTGCCTGCCCGCGTCCCCGCCCCTGTCCTGCCACCTTCCCTCCGCCCGGCCCTGCGCTGCGCTGCCCGGGTCCTGCGGGCCGCTTGGTCCCAGACCCAGGCCCGGCAGCGGGGCTGGCATCGCTGGGGGAGCCGTCCGCTAGCGGGAGCCCCGCGGGCGGGGGCCGGCAGCGCGACCCGCTGGCGCCGGGACACCTGCAAGCACAGGTGAGCGAATGGGGGCGGGGCGGGCCGGGGGCGCGGGGCGAGAGACGCAGGGAAGCCGAGTGGGAAGACAGCCGGAGGGAGACAGAGCCCTCGGAGGGAGGGGCCTGGGAGACAGTGACAGCTTTTCTTCCCGGCTCATAAATCAGGGAAAAGGTAAGGAGAGGGGGCCCAGGCCCACCGGAGAGGGGCCAGCAGCTGCTTAAGAGGCCTCTTCTATTCAAGCCCTGCCTACTCAGAGGGTGGGTCCTCTACCCAGGTAGAGGGGGAAGGGATGGAGCCCCACACCTGGCCCCCTGCTCCATAGACGTGTCCACAGAAACTGGGGAAGACCCAATGTACCCTGAGACCAGAGAGACCTTGCTTCTGCTCTGCTCACCTCCAAGGCCAAGGGCTCCATAGCCGCTCCTCCCTCACACCGTGTCTGTAGCCAGGAGCGTCCAGGTAAGGGGTGGGCAAACTTGTCAGTAAAGGGCCAGGTGGTAAATATTTTAGATTTCGAAGTCTATACGATCTCTATCGAAACTAGCTGGAAAGCAGTCAGGGACCATCAGTAAACGAGTAAATGTGGCTGTGTCCCAATAAAACTTCCATTATGGGCACTGAAATGTGAATTTTATATACGTTCTCTCTGTAATGAAATCGTATTTTTAATTTCTTTGTCAACTATTTAAACATGTAAAAAGCATTCTTAGCTGGCAGGTTGTATAAAAACAGATGACAGGTCCAGGCAGTCTCCTGTCCTCTCTCATGTGACCTCCATGCCGGCTGCGTATGGGGAAAGGGAAGCTGTAACTGGGTGCAAGGGGAATCCCCCCACCTGGGGGCATCCGGGAAACTGGGGACTTGTCTATCCAACTCCTCTCAGAACTACAGCCTCGTCTGAGGCCAGTGTGGGAGTTTATACGCCAAACGTGCACACAAATGGAGGAAGTATAGTTCCAGGGGCTTTCTAACCAGCAGGTGGGGGCATTCCCCACCCCCACCAAGTCAGAGATGAGGCAGCCAGGCTCTCCCAACAAGTGACCAAGCCCTTGACCCTCCATCCTCCTCACTCCCCACCTCCATCACCTTGGTCTCAGGTCTAGTGCCACCCTCTGATTGAGGCTGGCCCTTCCATTCATTTTCTCTTTGCAGACTCAGGGGACCCCTTTCTCCTGGACCTTGGAACTATGAACCTTTGGAGGTGACCTAGGAGAGAAGGGATGCAACCTTTTGGTCCTCCAGATGAGCGTCCCCTCCGAGGACTTGTGGAGTCCCGCATTGAGACTTATGGGGGCCAGCATCGGGCTTCGGCCCAGAGTACTGGCAGCAATCTCTATGCCCGAAGAGGCCTCGTGCTGGTGAGTCCAGGCCATGCCCCAAAGGTGACCTGGGTGGGGCAGATGGGAGGGTGCCCAGGCTTTCAGGTCTCTCTGCCTTTTACCGGTTCGTGGGCTGCTCTATTCCTATCCCTCACCCTACCTTCTCTCCTGGGTTGGGAGAGGTTGAGGAAGACAGTGCTGGGCCAGGCTCCCAGGACTCTGCACCCATCCCAGACAGATGGGGCACTCGAGGCAGAGAGCCAGGGGTGCCAGGCCCTCAGAGGAGGTGCTGTTAGACAGGTCCGAGTCAGGAAGCTGGGGAACTTTGCCAAGCCCTGGGGATGGCACCTCCCAGACTCCCACTTCTCCTGGGAGGAGCCTGTGGGCTCTGAGTCAGGGCTGGAGGAAGAGCAAAGGTTCAGAGTGCCCCTACTCTGAAAGTGAGGAGGGGTGTGGGGGCCCCCTAGCTCCACCCTGGCCCCACCCTCCTGGCCTGCCTCCAGTGCTGACCAAGGAAAGGGGTGTGGCGGCCAGCGGTCTTTCCCTCAGCCTCCACGGTTCCCTCCACCTTGAGAGCAGTTCTGCTTCCCGTTGGGGGTATCCCCAGCCTTACTGGAGGAAGATGTGTCCCTGGGAGATAGGGAGGACAGCTGGGGGTTCTCCCAGGCTGCGGGCGGAAAGGCAGAATAGGAAGTCTGTGGAGTAAATCCAACCACAGGCCGATCAAGGAATGTGACCAGGCCTGTCCAGGAGGAGACTTGTGGCCACAGCCTCAGCCTCTCACATGGAAGGGCAGCTGCCCCCGCTGGATGGGACGCAGGCTGCATGCCCCTGGGGAGGAGCCACACATGTGTGTGCCCTCATCCCCACGTGTCAGGGAGGCTGTTCCCAAACCAGGGAAGCTGTGAGGGACCCAGATGTAGTGTGCACCATGCATTGTGCATGCAAGCCTAAGGTGCCGGGAGCGCACACGTGAGTGGGCAGACACGGGGAGGACACACACCAGAGCCCAGGCGTGTGCGCACCTGTGTGCTGCTCTGCAGGAGGCCCTGCTTCTGCCCTGGGCTCACTCGAGGAGCTAGCTTGGCATGTCCCTGCCCAACCCACTTGGCCTCCCTGGCAGCAGCCACTGTGACTCAGGGCAGGAGCGGCTCACACCAAACTGGTTTGAGGGGAGAAGTGAGTCAGTTCAGCTTGGACGGGTAAGGACCTGGCCCCCAGCCCCTCCCTAGGACTTCTGGGGGAAGGGAGACACCCCCTGACCTTTCCTTGCTCTTCCCCCAGGATCCCGGTCGCCTACGCCTCCAGGACTATGTCCCCTTTGCCAAGAGCTCTGGCCAGACCCGAATCCTGTCTCCCATGAAGTTTCGAGAACCAGAGCCTGAGAAAAGGCTTGGAAGCCCTTTTGGGGCTGGCCCACCTCACTCCCCCAAACTCAAGGTGAGGGGTCCCTCTCTTCCCATTGCCATGCTCACAACCTGAGCTGTGATGTCCTCCAGAGATATTAGAGCCGCGAGCTCAGGCAGCCCCTCCAATAAGCCACTGGTCCTGTCTGGAGTCCTTCCCAGGGATACGTCCCTAAGCTATGCTTCCTCATAAAAATGTCCACATTATGGGCAAATATCAAAATGCTGCCTGAGACCTCTGGTTTCCTAAGTCCTGTTCTGGTCTCCCCCTGAAGGTCCCGCTAAAGGGTTATGTCTCAAGAGACCCCTGGAAAGCACCTTTCTGGTCAGGGAGCCCAGGTCAGACCCCTCTATCCTGGGACCTTTCTGCAGACCAAAGTGCCTCTCCATCCATGTTCCAGGGCACCCTTGCCCCTGTAATCCCAGCAGGGGTCGATCCCTGTCCCCTAGGCTTCCATACACACACACACACACACACACACACACACACACACACACACACAGCCCTCCCTGGGCTGTTGGGCTGCATGCCTGGGCTGTGGCCACAACTAATCCCTTTCTCAATTCCACCAGGAAGTCACCAAGGCCCATGAGCTGGAGATGAGGCTGTATACGTTCAGCATGTTTGGGATGCCCCGCCTGCCTCCTGAGGACCGGCGGCACTGGGAGATAGGAAAGGGCAGCGACAGCGACCTGACCATTGAGAAGTCCTGGAAGGAGCTGGTGCCTGGGCACAAGGTGAGCCTGTAACATAGTGTCTGTCCCCATGGGGTTACAGACACAAGCACACACATCTCACCTCTGTCTCTTCCCAAGGGAAAGGCCTCGGGTCATGTGGGGAAAGTGTTTGGAGAGATCTTACTCTAGGTCAGTGGTTTCCAACATGGGGCACATGCCCCACAGGGGGACAATTTGATTTTTAAGGGGGGCAATTTGAGAATGAGTTATTAACAGTGAATTTTTTGCATTTCTTATGGTTCTAGGGGCCTCATCTACAGTATATAAATATATAGTGAGCTCAGCCAACATTGCTCAGTGGTTGAGCATCAACCTATGAACCAGGAGGTCATGGTTCGATTCCTAGTCAGAGCACATGCCCGGGCTGTGGGCTTGTTCCCCAGTGTGGGGCGTGCAGGAGGCAGCCAATCAATGGTTCTCTCTCATCATTGATGTTTCTATCTCTCTCCCTCTCCCTTCCTCTCTGAAATCAATAAAAATATATTTTATAAAAAATAAATATATAGTGACATATTTATGCATTTCAGTTCTCTATTACTAGTATATGTTTTGAAACTTTATTTGCTATTTTTTCATATCACTTCATATTATTATTATTTTTTAACTATTTCTTGGTGATTTCTTCCTCTGTACTTCAACTGTCCTTTCGTTCTTTTATTTTTCTCTTTCATGGATACCATGGCCTTTGTAAGCCTGTTTAGACCAAGTTAATGGCCTTTTAGGCTTCCTCCACGTGAATAGAAATTCACTTTTTGAATAAAAGAATTATATGTCATGAGGGGGTGGTAATCAGGATTTTAGAGATGGTTAGGTGGGGCATGGCCAAAAAAAGGTTGGGAATCACTGCTCTAGGTTCAAATCCAAACTCTGTCACTTACTAGTGAGACCTTGGTCATGACAGCAAACCTCACTGAGCCTCAGTCATCTCACCTGTAAAATGGGGATGACACCTATACTTTGGAGGTTTGGTTTAAAGATTAAAAAGTCATCTATAAGCCCTAACTGATGGAATCAGTGGTTAGAGCATAGACCCATGCACTGAAGGGTCTTGGGTTCAATTCCCAGTCAAGGGCATGTACCTGGGTTGCAGCTTCAATTCCTAGCTCCAGTCAAGCTGTGTGCAAGAGGCAACCAATATCTCTCACATTGGTGTTTCTAGCTCTCTCCCCCTCCCTCCTTCCTTCCCTTCCACCCTCTAAAAACCAGTGGGGAAAAATATACTCAGATGAGGATTAACAACAACAACAACAAAAGTCATCTATGAAGTAGATCCAGTAGCATAACAAATGGTAGCTGTTGTTCTGTTCTTTTCACTGTTCCCCAACTGAACCAGCCCCACTCCCATCCCAGGAGATGAGCCGGGAGCTTTGCCACCAACAGGAAGCACTCTGGGAGCTACTGACCACAGAACTGACCTACATTCGAATGCTCAAGATCATGACCGATGTGAGCCTCCCTCGGTCCCAGCGCTGGCCCCATCCTCAGCCATATACCCATCTCCCTTACATTTTCTCTGACCCTCCCAGACCAGAGGAGCAGGGTTGCTGGGGGAAGGAGGGGCAGGATACCAAAAGATCCCCCTGATTTGAGACCTTCCCAGGATCTTGGGAGAGAAGTTGGCAGTACTGAAGTTGGGGGTGGGGATGCATTAAAGGGCTAGGCTGGGGTCCTGAGAGGAAGAGGCTGGGTGCTGAAACCCTCATCTCTCCCTTCATCTAGCTCCTAGCCGCTGGTTTGCTGAACTTGCAGCGAGTAGGGCTGCTGATAGAAGTAAGTGGGAGTTCAGGAGGGGAGTCTGGTACATTCCAACCTCTGAGCCCGAGAAGCGGGAGGTAGGGTTGGAGGGGTCACAGAGAGCCCTCTAGGCTGCCCAGTCTGAATTTCCACTGTCCCATTTTCTAGGACACCTGCCCTTCCTACTCCCCTTCTTGGTCTAGACCCCAGTAAGCCACTGGTCCCATCCCACTCCTCACCATCCAAGCTTAGCAGTTCTTGCTTGTCCATGGCCAAAGTTGCCTGCGGTGACCTGCCAAGTCATGCTGCTAAATTCTGCTCCCTCCTCCAGGTGTCAGCTGAGACCCTGTTCGGAAATGTCCCCAGCCTGATTCGAGCCCACCGGAGCTTTTGGGAAGAGGTGCTGGGGCCTACCCTGGGGAAGACTCGAGCCTCTGGCCAGCCTCTGGACCCTGTCAGCCTGCAGGACGGTTTCCTGGCGGTGAGGCATGGAGAAGGGTTTGATGAAGTGGGACTGGGGGAACCCAGGGGTCCTGTCTGCAGGGCATGTCTACACAACTAGAATCCTTCCATCACTTGAGGGCGTCCCAGGGCACAGCCCCTACCCCCAAATATCACTTCACCCCCTGCCCTTCACTTGACAAGTATGACCTCTGTCCCAGAGGTTCTTTGGGCTTCTGGAGACCCTTACATATGACGTGAAATTGCAGCTGTCTGAGGAAAGAGTTCCACCTAAGCTCTTATCAACTGTAACATCTTACTTCTTAGACAGAGATCTGACAAACAGCTGGAAGCAAGAATGGGGCCTGGGTGAGGGGTGTAAAAGGCCACCAGGGTACCTGGAGCATGAAGTATGACAAGAGAAAGAAAGAGAGGCCCAGGATCAGACTTTCCAAGTTTTCTCCAACCAGGAAGATGTGGGCCTTGCAGAGCTGGAAAGGGGTAGTGAGTTGGGGAGACAATCTCCTGGGAGCCATAGGTGGCACCCTTCCACAGGACAGGGCTTCTGGGGCAGCCTCAGATCACCACCCCCCTGTCGGGTGAAATGGGATCTGCATGTCCTGAAAACGTTTCGGCTGAATTATTGATGGCAGGAGTGAATTCAGAGCAGCAGGGTAGGCAGGGGCTGTGGACAGAAGCTCAGAGAGCAGCAGTAGGTCAGCCTCTCAGGTCCTCAACTCCTCCTTGGAATCTAGAGAGAAGGGCTGGCAGTCATGGGAGGTAGGGATTGGCAGGAGCTGGACTAAGGGTCTATGAGAGGCTGTCTCCACCCCCACCCTACCCTGTACACCCTGATCCCCATGCTCTGCAGCCAAAGCCTGTATCTCATGACCTTCTTTCCCTGCCTGCTCACCTCCCACCCCCCATCCCTCTAGATCAGCCAGCGGTTCCAGCCCTATGTCCAGTACTGCCTGAGAGTGAAGCAGACCATGGCTTACGCCCGGGAGCAGCAAGACAATAACCCTCTCTTCCGTACCTTCGTGCAGGTGGGAGAGGGGGTGGCAGGAAGGGAGATGGGTGGACCCTAGACAACTGGATTCCCCTCTACCCCCCACCCCCGATTTCCAGCTGGGCCCAAGGCTGAGTCCATCAATTAGGGTGGGGCAGGCTGCTGACCCCCTGCCCACCTTCCCTGGCAGTGGTGTGAGAAGCACAAGCGCTCGGGGAGGCAGATGCTGGGTGACTTACTCATCAAGCCCCACCAGCGCATCACCAAGTACCCACTGCTGCTACAGGCCGTGCTCAAGAGGACCCCTGAGGCACAAGCCCGCCAGGCCTTGAACGACATGGTAGGTGGCCTGGCAGGGCCAGTACCCTGGGAGTTGGAGGGTGGTGTGCGGGAGTTGCCCTCCAGGAACTCTTGAGGGTCTCTTTTCTTGAATGAATGTGACAGTGTGGCACTGACTGGCCAGCCTGTAAGGAGGCTGTGGTTGCCGTTGGTTGGGTGGGATGTACAGGGTGTGGAGCTGAGCTGCTCCTCCTGCCACACCCCACCTTCACCTAGATCACAGCTGTGGAGTCGTTCCTGCAACACATCAATAAGCAGGTCCGCCAGGGCGAAGATCAGGAGAATTTGGTGGCGGCAGCCCAGCGCATTGGGCCCTATGAGGTGCTGGAGCCGTCCAGTGAGGAGATGGAGAAGGTGAGAGAGGGAAGGGGGCTCAGAGAAAGCAAGGTCCCCAGGAAAGTGGATGCAGCGGAAGCCTGGAGGGGAAGGGGTGGAGGTGCCACAGAGGGGTGTGCCCATCATTCCTTCCTGGTGGTGAGGGTCCCAGGGGCAGAGTTCAAAAGAATAGAAGAAAGGCCCTGAAATGCTTCCTCTCCCTCCAAGTGGAGGATGGAGGACAGATGGAAAGAGCCAGTGCTGGTGACAGAACAAAGAACCACCTTGGCCAGGAGGTACACAGGAGTCCTATCCAGTCCCCTAACCCTCTCCTCTGTGTCCCTCAGAACCTGCGTCCTTTCTCCAACCTGGACTTGATGTCCCCCATGCTGGGGGTTGCTCCTGAGCACACCAGGCAGCTGCTGCTGGAGGGACCTGCGAGAGTGAAGGAGGGGCGAGAAGGGAAGGTGAGGGAGCATGGGTAGGAGCAGAGATGATGTGAGATGGACTGAAGAGAGGGAGAGATGATGGGAGGTAGGGATAAGAGTCATATAAGATGAAAATGGGAGAGAGGGGTGTGTGTGTGTGTGTCTGTCTGTCTGTCTCTGTGTGTGTGTCTATGTGTGTGAGTAGGTCACTTCTATGTGTGTATGGGGAAGAAGACATGGTTTTGGCTACAGCTCTGATTGTTTGTACAACCCTGAGTCAGCCACTTTCCCTGCCTGTAAAGTGAGAGAAGGGACCAAGCTGACACCCCCTCCAGCCCTAGCATTCCACAATGTGCACTTGTCCCTATGTATGTGCACACCCACATGTGCATACCCATGCATGAGACCCCACGTGTGCACACTCATGCATGAGTCCAGTCCCTGCCCCGCCCTTCCCCCTGCTCCAGCTGATCTGGCCTCTTTCTCCTACACACGCCCCCAGCTGGACGTGTACCTGTTCCTCTTCTCTGACGTGCTCCTGGTGACCAAGCCTCAACGCAGGGCGGACAAAGCCAAGGTTATCCGCCCCCCCTTCATGCTGGAGAAGCTTGTGTGTCGACCACTCCGGGACCCTAGTATGTCTCCCCTGTGAGGACTTTTTCCCTCCCCTTTCCTCTTGGAAGAGGGAAAGAGGTGTCAGGATGGGCTTCCAAAACAATCCAGTCCTTGAAGCAAACCTTTTCCCCCACTCAGACAGCTTTCTGGCGATCCACCTCACTGACTTCCAGTGCGTCTCCAGTGCCCTCATCGTGCACTGTCCCAGCGCTGCAGACCGTGCCCAGTGGCTGGAGAAGACCCAGCAGGCCCAGGTATGTGAGAGCCAGGTGTGGAAGGGGTGGCTGGGGGCCCTGGAGCTCAGAACCTGGAGCACAGAGGGGAGGAGGAAGAGAGAGAGGCTGGAGTTGATGCAGGCTCAGACTGTCCTCAGGAGGGAGACACAGCCTTGACTATCCCTGACCATCATAAGAGAAGAGAAGAGCCCCTTGAGCCACCTGCTCTGCCAGTCCCTGGGAGAGTCCAAGACGGCATCCCCTAGAAGTTTCTACGCCTTGAAACAATTTACTTCTGAACTTCAGTCTTGTCAACAGACATTAATGGGGTCCTTACCGGCTGCAGGCACCAGCTCAGCGCTAGGCAATCAGAAAGGAGTAAAACAATGTTCCTGCCCTCAAGGAATGTGCATGGCAGCCTAGCTAGACAAGTTAGTGTACGACTACAGAAACATGCATATGTAATGGAACTCAGCCCAAAAGGGAATAATTCGTTCTGCCTGGAGGGTTGGTTAGGAAGGGGACAGACAAGGGGGAGGGTGCGCTGAGAAGCCTTCACTGAGGAGCCCTTATCTGAGCTCCGTTTGGGGGAATATCTAGGAATATCTAGGAGTGTTTCAGGGAAACAGGGTGGGAAGGAAAGGTATTTCAAATGGAGACACGGAATGTGCAAAGGTCGGAGATATGAAACAGCTGTGTGGTGTGTTGAGAGACGCACCAGCCTGGGAGTTCATATCACCAGGACATAAAGCACAGGCAGGCACAGCGGCAGAGAGGCTGGGAGGCAGGCCCCGCCAGCTTGCCCATCTCCCATGTCACGTAAGGAACTTGAACTTTGTCCTTCCGATGACAGGGAACCAGTGAAGGTGCTGAAAGTGACGTGGGCAGATGTAGGTGATTAGAGCTAGAGGAGTTCAGAAGGCAGAGCCACATGGAACTGTACTGGCACCACAAACGGAGTGACTTACAGTAGCAGAAACATGTTCTTTCCCAGTTCTGGAGGCCAGAAGTTGGAAACCAAGGGGCCACACTTTCTCTCCAAGGTTCTAGGGGACAACCCTTCCTTGCTTCTCCCAGCTTCCAGCTGTTCCTTGGCTTCTCTATTCTCTGCCTCTGTCCAAATTTCCCTCTTCTGTCTCTCATGAAGACACCAGCCATTACATTTAGAGCCCACCCTACATCCAGGATGGCCCTTAACTTAGGATCTTCGCACCCTCTTTACGAATAAGGTCACATTCCCAGGACCTAGACAAATCTTCCTGGGCTACCGTTCAACCCACTGCAGGAGAAGAATGACCAAAGTAGTGTGAGGAGTGGAGCTGGACTTAAAGGACAGGGAAGATCATGAGCAGAAGAATCAAGGGAGCACTTGGTGGGATTCGTTGGGGGCAGTGACCTTGTGTGTCTGAGTCTGGAGCAAAAGGGTTTATGTGAGCTGGTGATTGAGAGGCCAGGCTCTACAGGACCCCAAGAGCTACAGAAGAGAGTGGACTGGGCGAGACTGGAACTGAATTGGGTTGATGAGAGAGAACCACCATAGATTCTTGAGCCAGGAATGCCATGGTGAAATCAATGTGTTTTGTCTTTGTCTTGAATTGTAAGGTGACCGTGACAGGTGGGCTGGGGGAGGGGAAGATTGGTGGCAGGAGATTTATTTTGCTGGTTTGGGTGTAAAATACTGAGGTTTATTTAATGCCATGGTCTTTGGGACACGTTGCCAAAAAAGGGGGGGTAGGGGAAGAGAGGAAGAAAGGAGCTAAAGAAGAAGAAACAGGTGAGACTTAGGGAGACTGGTTAAAAGCCTACACTGAATGAATGAATATCTAGGCTCAAACACCAGTTCTACCTCTCACTAGCTGGGTCATCTTGGGTGAGCTTCCATTCCTTCGCCTGCAAATGGATATACTGTTATTATTTACTTTTTGTGCACTCGGGGGGAGAGGGGGTGTCCCTCAGCCTGGCCTGTGCCCTCTCACAGTCTGGGACCCCTCGGGGGATGACCACCTGCTGGCTTAGGCCCACTCCCTGGGGGATTGGGCCTAAGCTGGCAGTCAGACATCCTTCTGGCAGCCTGGGAGCCCTCAGGGGATGTCCACTTGCCAGCGGGGAGCAGGCCTAAGCTGCAGTCGGACATTCGTAGCACTGCTGAGGAGGCGGGAGAGGCTCCTGCCACCAGCGCTGTACTGGCAGCCGGCAGCCTGGCTTGTGGCTGAGCAAAACTCCCACTGTGGGAGCGCACTGACCGCCAGGGGGAAGCACCTGCATTGAGCATCTGCCCCCTGGTGATCAGTGTGTGTCATAGTGACTAGTCATTCCCAGTCATTCTGCTGTTAGGGTCAATTTGCATATTACCCTTTTATTATATAGGATAGAGGCCTGGTGCATGGGTGGGGGCCGGCTGGTTTGCCCTGAAGGGTGTCCCAGATCAGGGTAGGGGTCCTGCTGGGGTGCCTGGCAAACCTGGGTGAGAGGCTGATAGCTGTTTGCAGGCTGGCCACAGCCCCTTCAGGGTGGGGGTCCCTGCTGGGGTGCCTGGCCATCCTGGGTGAGGGGCTGAGGGATGTTTGCAGGCTGGCCACAGCCCCCAGCCACCAAAGCTCCCAGTAGAGGCTAGCTGGAAACAGGTATCTGGGATTTATTTATCTTCTATAATTGAAACTTTGTTGCCTTGAGCAGAGCCGGCCAGGACAGGCAGGAAGTTTGGCTTCCTCCATCACCAGGGCAACCAAGCCTCCTGCTTGCTCCAGCTCCGTGGCTGCCAGCCGCCATCTTAGTTGTGTTAATTTGCATATAGTCTCTCTGTCTGGTGGACATGGCTTATAGGTGTGGCTTATGAGTGTAGCAGAGGTACAGTCAATTTGCATGTTTGTCTTTTATTAGATAAGATAACAGTCCTTGCTTCACAGAGAAGATTCCAAGGTCATTCTGATTAAGCAAATGCATGATCACAGCTCTGAAACCCTTCCACAGAGACCAAGGATGGTTGCTCCCCAAGGTTCCCGTATGAAAGACTGCTTTGGCTATGGTGCCCCTGACAGAAATGAATCCTTAGAAAGAGAAGCCTGTTTGTTAAGTTGTTGTTTCCTGGGAGTTGTTTCCTAGGGTAGCAATATTCAGTTTTAAACAGAAGCACTTTGGAAATGCGTCAGTGGGAGACAGCCAAGGGGAGGCATCTTGGAGGCTTGTCGAAACATGGAAACACAGACCTGAGTTCAGGTGAGAAATGAGGGTGAACTATGAAAGTTGCTAAAAGAGTAAATCTTAACCACAAGAAGAAATTTTTTTCTAACAATGTATGGTGATGGATGTTAACTAGACTTAGTGTGGTGATCATTTCATTATTTATCCTATATAATAAAAGCCTCATATGCGAACTGGTTGGCCATTCAACCAATCAAAGCATAATATGCTAATGATAAGCTAAGGCCACTCAACCGCTCGCTATGTCATGCACTGACCACCAGGGGGTAGACGCTCTGACCGGTAGGTTAGCTTGCTGCTGGGGTCCAGCCGATCGGGACTGAGCGAGGTGGGCTGGATTTGCCCTGGAGCCCTCCCACAGTCCCTCTCCGGCTGGCCCACCTCCCGCATCCCTCCCTGACCCCAATCCTGCACCAGTGGGGTCCCTGGACCTGGCCTGTGCCCTCTCGCAATCCAGGCTGAAGGGGACCCCCCGAGTGCACAAATTTTGTGCATTGGGCCTCTAGTTTATATATAAATATGTATTTATATATATATATATATATATTAAATCATAACCTTGTACACCTGAAATTAATATAATGTTATATGTCAATTATACCTCAATTTTAAAAACAGAAGAGACGTTTTGAACAAGGAAAGAAATCTTATTGTAGATTATTTCTAAAGAATGCAACTTCATTATGTTTAAGGTGTTTAAGTCAAATTAGTGTTCCTCATAGAGCTTGCTGTAATGAATAGATAACAATGATTTGTCATTAGCATATCAGGCAGTTAGGGCTTCTGAAACTTCTGAGAATATGTGAAGAGTCTGTTCTTTAAATAATTTTAAGCATTCTTTCCGCAATCTTATTTATGATATCGTATCATAATATGGACAGATTATTTGAGGAAAGAAAAACCAGAGCTTGGGCTCTGTTTAAATACCACATTAAAAATTCTGAATTGGGGGAGTAAAAAATAAATACGGGTTTTTTGCCATTTAAAAAAAAGAAGAATGAATTAAGGGTGAAAGGAGGAACCTCAAGATATTGTGTCCTCCAGCCCTGTGGGCTGCCACTTCCTTAAATACCTAAAACAGGATGGTGACAGTCCCCAGGAAGGCAGAGGTAGGGGACAGGGTTGGGTGTGGGGTGGGGGTGGTTTTAGTGTTGACTGGTCTCCGGCTGCCCTGCTTCAGGCCCCCTCATACTTCCCTCTCTCTATGTGACAGGGTCCTTCTCTCTATCCCACTCTCCCCAGCACAAACACAGTGTCCACATGGCTGGACTGGCCGACAACCGGCACCACTCCAGTGGCCAGTCGAGTTGTACTGAAGGCTGGATAGGAGTGGAGCTGAGGACAAAACTGGAGACAAGCCCAGCCTGTCAGGACCGCAGGTGGGGCCCTGACCTGCAGGCAGCCTCCCTTCTGTACCAGCCCCGCCAGCAGGACCTTCTCCTTTTCCTTTGGTTCCTAGTCCCAGGACAGTACCCCCACCCCTTCTCCTTTTAGAACCCCCAAGGGACCACAAAGACGTGCTGACATTTTATTATGCAAAATAATTGAGCCCCCTAGTCTCACTACTGACTAACAGAGGAAAGGAGGTCACTTCTGATGCCTAAAACTCCGGCCACCCTTTGCAAAACAAAGAACGGAAGCTTTGAAATTAATTTGTCCTGCTGTTATCTCACACCAGATTTTCAGAGAACAACCCCCCCCTCGCCCCCCCCGTCCCTCCCCCCTCCTCTATCGCCATCAGTCACTGTAAACTGCAGAGGGCAGTAGAGGATCTACAGCAACCCCCAGGGGTCAGATTTTTTTTCTCCCCTCACAGAAATGCAGATGGAGATTTATTCCTGGCGAGTCTGCCCACAGTGGCTTAAGCTTTTAGAGAAAAGGAGCTTCTCAGAGGAAGGCAGACTGAATCTTGGGAAATGCCCATATTTAGGGGATGAGAAGAGGAAAAGACACCAGTGACAGGAACAGAAAGAGATGAAGGCCAAGAAATGAGAGGCAGGGCGGAGCCTAGCTCGGGTTGTCTGTGTTCTCACAGGAGTCATTACGTGTCTCTGGGGAACTGCCGTGACAATGGGAACTGCCACGCAGGACAGACGAGAGAATTATGTTTGTAAACTGTTTGGCCCGAAGCCCAGCCCGAAATGGGCGCTCCATACATGCTTGTTGTCATCATGAGGCGGGTGGGGGACCTCAACATCTGGGGGCCTCTGGAAGGAGAGCGGGTGGATCTGGGAGCCGCCCCAGGGGCAGCGGGACAAGAGGCATTTCCTCTCAAGGCGTCAGGTCCCCGCCAGGGCAAGGGAAGAGTGTGTGCTGAGGGGGCCCTCCCCTCCTGTTCCCGGCTGCTGGGGTGTCACAGTCTGGCTCAAGCACCAATTTCCTCTTCCTTTCCCACCCTGCCCCCAGCATGTCTTTCCTGTTATCCCTGCTGAGAAAACCTCTGGGTTACTGGAGAGGCTTTGGGGTGGCCGGGGGCCCTTCAAACAGCCCCAGCCCCTGGTGTCTGAGGTCCCTGCCTCCCTGCTTCTTCCTGGGGCAGGGCCAGGAGCAAGGTTAGTGGAGATGCTGGTATTGGATGTTCCTTACAGACACCCCACCCCCATTTCCAGTTATTTTCTTCCACACACTGTCCCTATCCTGAACGTCCCAAACACAACACTGAACTTTGGTCTTGTAGGGTAAAAGGGCTTGGCATCTAAGCAGGATGAGCCGGCTGTCCCAGCCACTCCCAGGCCCCAGAATGGCCCCTCCCACACTCAGCACGGAGAGGGGACAGGGAGAAGTCCCAGGCCCTGGCCTGGTGTGCTGGGTTCCTGCTCCCAGGCACCATCATCCCTTGCTCTGGCCAACCAACCAAGTCTTATGAGACCGCTAAGAATCCTCACAATGCTTTCTCCCTCTGGAGACTGACTGGACAGCCAGGGCAAGGAGAATTGGAAATAGAAGCTCATGTCGCTGATGTCATTTTCCTATTCCTGTCCACCATTCTCCAATATGTCTCTTGTTCTGATCTCCCGAACCACTGTGTTCCTGAGAAGCTTTAGGGAGGTCTAGGCACCCAATAGTTGCGGGTTCATATACCTGAAGTGGGGAGATATTCAAATGCTTACCATCCAGAATGGCATGGGCACCAACCAATCAGAGTGGAGCATTGGGAAGGTGGTGGGTCTTAGAGGTCCTCTGCTGAGCAGGATGCTAACTGTCCCCTGCAGTTGCTGGATTTGGGGGAGCAGGGTAGCCCTAGGGAAAGGAGGCAGAAGGCTCAGACAGCAGCCCTTGGCTTACCAGCATGGAAGTACTTGAGTATTTTAACAACTATGGGCCATCCAGTGAGTACTGACATCAGCGCTGCCCCCAGCAAGCCACCAGTCCCTTTCACCACACCTCCTCCTTCAGCCTCTCCTGGGTTCCGCGGCCTTCCCTCCTCCTCCCCCAGCAGATGTTATCCTTTCACAACTCTGAACCCTTTCTGCTGCCCTTGATTACTGCCCGAAGACTCAGGGAAAAGCCCAGTCCCAGTGCTGTTTCTCTCTACTGTGCAACCTTGAGCAAGTCCCTCATCTCTCAAAGTCTTGTTTACTCATCTGTAAAATGGGCTAATATCCGTGCTTTTCCACTCTGCAGGGTGATGGTGTGTCTCAAATGACTGTGTGCATGTGGAGGTGCTCTGTGAACCACTTCTCAGATGTCACTATTTTATCCTGATGATGCCCCTATGAAAACATTGAGGCAGGAAGACAGAAAACATAATGTATCCTCTCTCCAAACCTCTTGAGACAGCCTTGTTTTCATCTCTGAAGGACAGCAGAGTCCTCAGTGCAGGACAAAGCCTGCCCCTACCCATCCTGGTGGCAGGAGGAAGAATAACCTGAGGATGCAGGACTTATGCCCCACCATCACCACCAATCAGGGAGGGCATCCTGAGGGAGGAGGCAGACCAGATAGAGGGCTTGTCAAGGGGCATGAGAAGCAGGAAGAACTGTATATGGAGGAAAGAGGGCTTTCTGTCCAGGAGTTCAAATCCTGGCTCTGTCCCACTTCCTTACTGCATGATCTTGGCAGTCATTAACCTTAGTCTCCATTTCTCAGTAGCAAAGTAGAAGTAAAAAAAATAGCATCTGTCTCATCTGGTTGTTGTGAAGACTAAAGGAGATAATGTATGTAAAGCACTTAGCCCAGTGCCTGGCATACAGCAAATGCTCAATAATCTAGGATCTTTTTTTTTTTTTTAGATTTTTAAATCTTTTTTAAAAATTTTACTAGAAAGAGAGAGAGGAGAGACATCGGTTTGTTGTTCCACTAATTTATATACTCATTGGTTGATTCTTGTGTGTGCCCTGATGGGGGATCAAACCCGCAACCTTGGCATATCAGGATGGCACTCTAACCAACAATAATCAAGGATCTTAATGGAAGTATTCCCATCCCAGGTCGCCCTGCAAAAGCTAAAGGCACAGGAATATGTCCAACAGAAGAGGGAACTCCTGGCCCTCTACAGGGACCAGGACCAGGAGTCTCTGAGCACCAGGCCCTCCACGCCTTCCCCAGAGGGCTCTCAGAGCAGCGTGGAGGGGAGGTAAGACCCACAGGGACCACCAGCTCTCCCACAAGAAGGAGGCTGCAGGTAAAGAGGGAGAGACGGGGAAAGGCTGCAAAATGATATGACAGCGCTTGGGGCAGTTAGGAATAGACTGGGGAACCCAGGCTACAGGTTGGAGAACAGGTTGGCATCAGCCATGTGCAGGGCCTCCTGGGGCAGCCTAGGAGGTTAGCCAGCCTAGGGTTGGCGCAGACTGAAAGAAATAAACACAAGAAGCGTGAACTCCCTGAGAGGAGCAGGCTCCCCAGGCTGGGGATGGAGAGTGAAGGCCGGTAGGGATTTGCAGAAAGAGCAGCAGGGACCAACTTAGTCCAGATTCCCAGAGTGTGAGAGGTTCATCCTTAAAAGCAGCTGTTCAGCAGCATGGTTGGAGAAAAAAGAGCCATCAGGGGGGTAACCTCGGATGTCAGGAACCCCACAGAACATACCTGAGCACTTACTTGACACAAGGACCTGGACCAAGTGTTGTGAGCTTACAGTCCAACCAGAGATGATAGAACAGTGTAAAGGCGAGACCAAATTAAATTGGGAGGAGGGACCACTTCTGAATGGAGTGATCAAGGGATGCTTCCTGGATTTGGACTTGACCCCTGAGCATCTGACTCTGACCATTCATTCATTCGTAGGAATTCTGAGTTCTGCACCATCATCCCCCACCTGGTGGTGACGGACGACACGGATGAAGACATCCCCTTGGTACCAGATGACACCTCAGACTCTGGCTACAGCACTCTGATCCCAGTCTCCCCCAAGGATTCCCACTCCCCACTGAGCCGGCTGCGCCCATGGGCCCTTCGGCGGCACCCCGGCTTCACCCTCTCCGCCCTGGACCTCCGGGATGTTACTTTGCGCCCCCAGCCTCCTGACCCCCAAGCTCCCCAGCGCCGAAGCACCCCTGAACTGCCAGGGGAAGTTATCCGAAGAGGAAGCAGCCTTCCCAGGGGAGAGCGGCCCGCCTGGTCTGAGGAAGAAGATGGGACCTCGGTGGGAGGGAACGTGGTAGTGGAGACCTTGCATAGGGCCCAGCTTCGGGGGCAGCTCCCACACTCCTCGACCCACACTGACTCTGCTGGGGAAAGCCCCTGGGCGTCCTCAGAGGACGAGGAAGAAGAGGGGCCCCTCTTCCGGAGACCCTCCCCGGGCCCCCTCAGTGCTGAGGACATGCTCAGAGAGATCCGGGAGGAGCTGGCCAGCCAAAGGATCGAGGGCAGCCCGGAGCCTGGGGACAGCGGGCCTCGGAAGCTGACTCGGGTCCAATTGCAGAGGATGCGTGGGCCCCACATCATACGGCTGGACACCCCCGTGTCCACATCGTAAGTGCTGAAGGGAAGGTGGCCTGGGAGGGAGCAGAGGGGAAGGAAGGCCAGGACGGAGTGGGCCAGTATGTCAGGGTAGGAGGTCGGTAGGGAGGGGTCGGTAGAAAAGGGCAGAGCCAGAGCAGGGGCCATGGCAGGGCCGGGCCCTGAGCCTCACTCTTCATCCCCTGTCTTTTCAGAGAGGTGTGAGGAACACGCAGGACCTTTGGTTTGGCATTGCTTCCCGAGGACATCTCTCTCCCAAGAGTGCTGGTCACCACCACCCCGCCCCCCAGGACTGCACCTCAAGGTCCACACTCCCCATGAGGAAGCCTGGCCCGGGATACCCCGGGCTCCCTGCTCTAAGAACTCTGGGCATCGAGCGCTGTACATTGTGTACCATAGACACCGGAGCCCCACATAAAGTTGTGCATAAAAATGACTGCCCCGTCAGCGCTGCGTGGGGGAAGAAGCGGAGGGGGTAGCAGTGCTCACAGGCTGCTCCTCTGGCAGCGGGCATGATGGTGGCGGGGTACCTGGCCCGAGTGGACTTGTCACCATCCCACCCAGCGGGACCCAGGTCTGGCCCCGGGCTCCCACCACCACTTAGAAGACCACTCCCTCCAGGAGCAGAGCTTTAATTCTCCAGTTTTAGTGTATTTACAGAAGTCCAAGCTCCAGCGGGAGGCTCCAGGGTGTGTGCCTGTCCCTGCCGGGGAGAGTCCAGCTTACTCTGTGTCCAGGCAGGGACCGCAGGGGTGCCAGGTTTCGATTAGCATGACATAGTTGATACGGATTGCTTATGGGTTGTGGAAAAGGCCCAGGGACCAACCAGGGCTGCTAAAGGGCCTTGATGGGTCCTCCAGGCAAAACAGGAATGAGGCATGGCGCCTGCCGTCCCCACAACCACCCGCTTGGGCTCGGGGCACACTCAGGCTCTCACAACCGCACACAACGCATCTATCCATCTCCATTCTCTCCCTCTCTCTCACACACACACATGCACGCACATGCACACGCACAGCTGACCCTCCGGCAGTGCTCAGCTGAGAGAGCTCTGAACACTGAGGGAGTAGCACCAAGTAAGTGGCTGCCAGCTCATGCCTGCCCCTCCAAGACCCTTACTCTGCAGAAAGAAAAAAAAAAGGTCCAGAGGACATCTTGCGAAGTCCTTCAGAGGTCCCCCGGCAGGAAGTCTTCGGGTCCTCGGGGCAGGCCCCTCCCGAGGGCATGGCCTCATCGGGGAAGGTGCGGCTGCAGGGAGAGGGAGGGGGGGGCGCACAGAGCCGCCTTGATTTCCTCCAGGCAGCCCTCCAGTTCCATGTCGCGGAGCACAAGCCTCAGCAGCTCCAGCGTGGCCTCGCGCCGCCGGGGCGTGCGCTGCCGCCAGGCCGCCAGCATGCTGTACTGCGCCTCCCGCAGGCAGCGGCCGTTCTGCAGCTCCAGCCGCTCGATCTCGTTCTCGCTCAGCCCCAGGCGCCGCATGAACTCCTTCCAGCGCAACACGGGCACGCAGTCCACCACGGCGTACAGCATGGCTGGGTCCGCTGCAAGGAAGCGGGGGTGAACATGGGGCTGCGGCTCCCAGGCCCGCCCGGGCCAGCCGGCTCCCGGCTCATGCATCTGCTCTCTTGGAGCCCCACCCGCCTGCACCCCCACCGGGCTTCCTAGCTGGGCGCTCACCCTCTGGGCGCTGCGTGTAGGTGCTGCCCTCCCACTTCTGAAGAAGCGTGGCCGTGGGGGTGGAGGCTGGAGCCGCCGTGAGGAGAGGGCCGGCCTGCTGGTGGGATGGGGCCATCTCTCTGGGCGGTGGTGCAGCTCTGAAGTCGTGCCAGTCACCAGGGGTAAAGGTGGAACTTGGCATGGAGCTGGGGATGGGGCTGAAGCCTGTGGTGGGGCTGAAGCCTGGGGCGGAGGCCAGGAGCTCCGGCACCCCCTGAAAGAGACGAGGTACAGCATTCGTGGGGGAGAGTGAAAACAGCCCGGTCCTCTTCATTTTGGATGGGGTTGGGGCTAGAGGGAGTTAGGGGATCCTCAGGGTCAGGGGCGACAATACCTAATTTGGTTCTTACAAGATTACAAGGGGCAGTCAGAGAAGCAGGGGAGGGATCCCTGGTTTCATCTTACCTCCTTTACAGGTGTCGATTTCCCACAAACTGAGAAGAAGAAAAAAAAAGAGAGAGACAATATGTCACAAATTTCACTTCCCCTCTCAGCCCTGGCGCCCATACTGGGGCTGGCCCTGGGGACTTGTGGTGACATGCTTCAGGGCCTATGGAGTCCCAGGGATGAGAGAGCTACTGATGCAGTGTGACCTCTTACCACCATCCAGGGCCACCTCCCACCAAGGGAGCCCCACAGCGAACGAGGGGGATGCTCACTCCCCTCCTCACTGGCGCGCTGGTGCCTCTTACCACACAGGTGGGTCTTACCACCCGGCCTCCTCTCACGTCCCCACTGGCACCCTTTCCCCTCCCAGAGGCCCCACTCACCAATGGACTGGAGCTTGGGCTTCCACCGTTGGAAGTGGCATGTTAAGCCCATGAAGAGGAGGCATAAAAGGCAGAAACCAAAGAAGATCACCAGGGACAACAGCACTGGGGACAAAGCAGATTGTGATCAGGGCGGGCTACAGGAGGAAGCAGGGCTGAAGGGTGGGTGCCGGGGCAAGGTTACGACAGGGCAGGTGAGCATGGGCACCCGGTTATTTCTCCTCACCTGAGTCCGGAGAGCCCCCAATAACTTCACCTGTGGATGGGCACAACTTTGTGCACTCCGTGTTTTTCTCACAACTAAAGGAAGAAATTGCAGAGGTGAGTAGGGGCCCTACCATAGGAATACAGGTTAAAAAATAAAGAAAAAAACACATTGTTGATTCTCTGCTTTACAAGTATTTTAACTACCTCTTGAAAAAGAATGAAAATTAAAACTAGCTTTGGAATTGATGCAAAGGAATGAAACAAATGAACCACAAAATCATCTAATTTAGCCCTAGCTGGCCTGGCTCAGGGGATAGAGCGTCAGCCTGCAGACTGAAGGGTCCCGGGTTCAATTACGGTCAAGGGCACATGTCTGGGTTTTGGGTTCAGTTCCCAGTAGGGGGCGTGCAGGAAGTAGCCAATCAATGATTCTTTCTCATCATTGATGTTTCTATCTCTCCCTCTCTGAAATCAATAAAAAATATTTTTTAAATAATTTAAAACTGTAATTGATCTTGAAGAGGCTGTGTAGGAAAACAGTTAAAAGCAGCCAGGGTTGGGGTTTAATTCCAGCCCAGTCATTGGCTAGCAGTGTGACTCCAAGCAAGTCATGTAACCTATATGTCTCGGTTTCCTCATCAGGAAAACAGGGATCCTACCCACCTATCAGGATTGAGGACTGAGTGAGAAAATCCTGCCTGACATATAATAAGTGCTCAACAAATGGTAGCTGTCATTGGATTGTTACTTTATCATTGTTCTGCTGAAGAGAATCCTGTGGCAAAGAGAGGTTAAAGAGCTTTTTCTCAAGATGGCACTGCTATAGACAATACCTGACTTTGAGGGAGGGGTCCAACATGCATGTGAAAAATTTAAAAATACACATTGCTGGCCGGCACCAGAGAGCACTCTAGAACAAACACATCTTCCCACGTTGGGAGCGGTTACTGGGCAGCGTGGAGTGATGCGAACTCCATGGGAGGCCTAGAAGGACCTTGAAAATGTGAGTTCTCACCAGGAATCTGAAAGCAGAAAGATTCAGATTCACAAGTTCATGATGAGAACCATATGGGATGGGTGTAAAGCTCTTTCAAGCAGAGACAAAGCTTAGCGGGAAAAAGAAGAGTTTCTTGTCAGACATTTTGTAGCTATATATCGTGGTTCTTACAACTTCGCCAAGTGGATGTCATTATACCCTTACTTTTTTTTTTAACATATTTTATTGATTTTTAGAGAGAGGAGGGGAGAGGGAGAGAGAGAAACAAACATCAATGATGAGAGAGAATCATTGATCAGCTGCCTTCTGCATGCCCTCTACTGGGGATGGAGCCTGCAAGCCGGGTTTGTGCCTTGACAGGGAATGGAATCGTGACCTCCTGGTTCATGGGCCAATGCTCAGTCACTGAGCCACACTTGCCAGACATTACCCATACTTTAAAGGTTAAAAAAAACTAAGACTCAGAGATGTTACATCACTTGCCCAAAGGTGCACAGCCAATAAATGGCTAGGTTGAGATTTAAACCCAGGTCAGTTCAACTTTAGAGCTCTCAGAGTTTTTTCTTTGCAAGCAAGTATGCAAGAACAGCCAGGAGTGAGGAGGCCTGGTCAAAGGGACTGGGGAGGAAATACCATATCGCATGAAACCTACGATACCATCAACACTAGGAGGCACCATTATTTGCATAAAACACTCACACAGAGCTACCAGTTAAACCGTGCTACAGCATCCATTGTTGTCAGATGCAGTCTGATTTCAGAGATGTGAATTAATTATAGGCACTGTCACCCAAGAATTTCAATGTCAAAAAAAGAAGAATCTGAATGCCTGAGTTAGGAGAACTACAAGTCCCTGGTGTCTGAGCCTCTATCCCCAAAGACTTCTTAAGACTTGACCGATAAGTTAGGGGAAAGGAGAAGGTCTACCTGCTGTCTTGACATGAAGTGTCTCCCACTCAAACAACCAGTGGGAGCCAGAGCACCCTGGGGTGTCCCCCTTGTCCTGCTGGAGGCTCTCACCTCAGCCACCCTGTGCCCCCTGACTCAGTGCCCAGCAGCTGGGAGATACTCACTTATCACAGGGGACGCACTTGTTGTCTTTTAGGAAGAACCCTGTGTGGCAGGTGCACACGGTGTTCTGCTTCGCACTGCCTGTGAAGAGAGGGGCAGCACAGTTAGAGGAGGGCTGGCCTGCAGCCTGAGGAGCAGGGCGGGAGCCGGGAGGGCCCGGGATAGATGGCCCGAGCGGAGGTGTCCCCACAGACTGCAGGAATGGGAAGGATAGAAAGTGCTGCCTCTTGGGGAAGGGGTGCAGAAAGGGGCAGACCCTCCCCCTAAGACAGGGCCCACCCCTGCAATGAGGATGGGGCTGGGGTCAGGAGGGCCATGCTCACAGGAGATTTGCACCGTGCCATTGAGGCAGGGGCTGCAGTTCCGGCACCGGAAAAGAGTGTCACTCAAAGACTCCTGGTACTGGTTCTTCTTGCAGCCACACACGGTGTTCTGGTCCACTGTGCAAGGAGAAATCTCCACCTGGTCCATTTCTAGCGAGAGGAAGAGATGGGGTAGGAGCCTCTTCTCTCTCTGTGGCACGCACTCACGCCCACCCACGCACTCTATCACACAGGCCCACGCACTTCTGCCCGCACCCAGCAGCACAGACTTGCACACCCTCCCAGGTGGATAGGCACGCACACCCTTCTCAATGCCCACCTGGCCCATCCTACTTGGAGCCCTTGCCCTCTC